GACCAAAAAAAAAAAAAAAAGAGAGAGAGAGTTAAAAATGCCTAGGAATTAATTAAATAAGAAGTGTACAAGACCCATATGAAAACAACTTTAAAACACTGTAAAAGATAACTAAAGAAGACTTGAACAAATGGAAAGGTAAACCAAGTTTTTGGATAAGAGATTCAGCATCATGAAGATAGATACCTATAGTTCCCCAATTAGTTTGTAAATTCAACAGTTAGCATTATTTTGTTTTGTTTTTAAACAAGATGAGATTTTGAAGTTAATGTGTAAAAATAAACATCTAAAAATAATGAGGGAAATTGGTAACAAAACAGCAATGAGGGGGGATTAGTCTTACCAGATACAAAACCATAAAGTCTTCATCATTGATGAAGTGTTGGTAAATGAATAAATAGGCTAACCAATGGGCCAAAATAAAAAGTATAGAAGGAGGTGCAGATACTCATGACATTTGGTGTATGATAAAGGTTGCATCTCAAATCAGTAGGAAAAGATGAACTAGGTATTAAGTGTGACTGAGACAACTGAATGAACTTTTGGGAGAAACAGGTAAGAATTGGATCTGTATGTTATACTGTTGGATAGACTCCAAGTGGATAAAAGATTTAAATGAAACCACAAAAGCACTAGAAGAATATATAAGAGAGTTCTTTATAACTTTGGAGTAGGCAAGGGCTTTCATTTGACTTAAAACCCAAAAAATGAAAGATTGATCAATTTAACCATAAACTTTCATAAAACAACAACAAAATCTACAGCTAAGACCAAAAGGAGCTAAGTATATTTGTAATTCTTAGTGCAGGTGGAAGGATAATCTCCTAAGATTTAAGAACTAGAAATTAGACAGGAAAAATCCAACAATTAATGGAAAACTTGGCAGAAGATATAAATACACAGGTCACATAAAGGAGATGCTGAATGATTCTTAAAGCATTAAAAAAATGTTCAGCGTCACTCAGACTACCTTAAGATACTATTTTCATCAACAAGACTTTAAAAATCCAAAAGTATTGTTAAACACCATGTTGGTGGGAATTTGGAGTATCTGGCACTATTAACAGGATGATAAATTAGTACAAGCCTGATCAAGGGCAGTTTGGCAATTTCTATAAAAATAGCAACTGTGTATAAACTCTGACCTATTTTTGTGAATTTATCGTAGAGAAGAATTTGCACACATGTGATGTGACCTGTGTATAAAGCTTTCATCTAGCATGTTTATAATAGCAAAAATGTGAAATAATGTAAATATCTATTGATAAGGCCATAAATCAATGTGGTCCAACCATAAAGTGAAATACCATGCAGCTGTGAAAAATTAAAAATAGTCAGGATGCTCTATAAAAATATGGAAAGAATTCCAAGCTACTGATTTAAGTTAAAAAACCCAACAGGTTACACAACAACGCTTATAGTATGCAGGACTACTGCATACTCCAGAGGACCAGCTCATGTCAGAATGCATTTGACTCATGATTTGATTGTACGTTGTACAGTGTGAATAGCTGGATACTTTGTGCCTGATTGTAGTTACTGTCTTAGTCAAAACAAAAGTCAAGGATCAATATTTATTTATACTTATTTGTGCATAAAGGAACTAAAAGGATTCACAAGAAACTAAAGCAGTAGTTACCTACGTGTATGGAAGTTGTGTGGAGATGGATAGGATAGATATAATTTATATATATATCCCCACTGAATGTATTAACTATTTTTTTAAAACTAAAAGACAAGATTATTTTACATGGCATTATGGTTTTTTAGTTTTATCACATTAATATTTATCATCCTTTTTCAAATGTTTTCATCCCTCTCCCTTTCATTTTTTTCTATTTTTAATGATCCAATAAAAAGAGCTAGATTTAGTGGATGTCTTGATGCCCTTGTCTAGCCTGGATTAATACTTAGTCCATAGGCACACACCTGATCATCTGATCATCTACATTTGCCTTCTTACAGCACTAAACTATGTTTTCTACCTTTATCTTGCATCTACCTACTACTTCAGCATTTTATTAAAAATAAAAATAATAATAATAGTAGGAGAAATGGGGGATCAACATATAGATCAAGTACAAAAATCAAACGAATATTCATATTTGACCTGATTGTTTATAGGTCATATTGCATGATCAAAACCGAAAGTTTCTGTGATGACTGCCCTTGTACTGTTCACCATGTAAGAATTTATTCACTATGTAAGAATTCGTTCACCATGTAAGAACTTGTTCGTTATGCTT